TGTAATTTTTGCCTCCATCTTCATGTCTTCTCGTTTGTTTTTAAAAATAGGATCTCACTAGACAGCCTAAGATAGCCGAAAACCTGCTGTATAAGCCACAGTACCCTTGATGATCCTCCTGCCTCAGCCTCCTGATGGCTGGATTTCCAAGTCTATGAGCAGTGTTTGTTATGTTTTCTCCTTTTCTGTCTTTTATGAAGATATGTTACAGTAGATGACAAGTCTCCTTGATCCAGCATCTCGAGAACTTTATCTTAATTACAGTTGCAAAGGCATTTGTTCCAAACAAGGGCACATTTTGAGGTTTCAGTGAACATAATTGGGGGTACAATCCAGCCCTTTGTAGGCACTTAAGAGTCTCTCTCCCTTATTCTGTCTGAACATAGATATGTGTTCACAAGACAAATCAGAGGAAATGGTTGCCGTGAGGTTTTGTTCTAGTTGGACAGGCATGTGTCTTAGGTCTGGGTATCTGGAGCCATCATCACATGGCTGTCAGCTCCAATGGCTACAGACAACCTTCTTTCCCAGTTAGAAGTCACTTCATTACGGATTAAGAAATCTTCAGTTAGGCTAGGTGTGGAGGTGTACATCTGTAATCCGAGTACTGGCAGTACTGGGGAGGCTGAGGTAGGAAGATGCAGAGCTCCAAAGCCAGCCTGGGCTATGTAGTGAGTTCAAGGCCAACCAGGCTATACAGTAAGACCAGTTCCAGAAGAAAACCAAAAACATGGGTCAGTAGGTGGACTTTTGAGCAAGGTGGCCTGGGAGGGCAGAGGACAGAGGCCGGTCTGCTTGGTAGATATGGGAGCCCATGCAGTCTTCTTGGCCTCACCACCTGGAAGAAGCCAGCTTACAAATAGCTCAGGAGTGTTTTTTTAAAAGTCTGTTTTTGTGCTTTTGAGTCAGGTCTTGTTCTGCAGCCCAGGTTGTCCTCAAACTTGTGGCAATGCTCCTGCCTCAGACTCCCAAATGCTGGGATTACAGGTATGAGCTACCATGTGTAGCCAGAAGTGTTTATCTAATGGGGAACACAAAGATTTGAGAGGTCTTGGCTTTTTCCAGATACCTTATGATTACCACTCCCAACATTTTAAATGTTTTCATTGAGGAAGGCGTGAACCTACTCCTGCAAGTTGTCCTCTGATCTCCACATGTGTGCCAAGGTATGCATGTGCACACACAATAAATTAAAAAAATGTAAAAAGAGGGCTGGAGAAATGGCTCAGTGGTTAAGAGCACTGGATGCTCTTAGAGAGGACCCAAGTTTGACTCCCAGCACCCACATGGCAGCTAACAACCATCTGTAACTCCAGTTCCAGGGGATCCAATGCCCTCTTCTGGCCTCTACAGACATTACACACACACACGTGATATACTTACATACATGCAGGCAAAACATTCATGCACATAAAAAAACTTATACAGGCAATTTTGAAAGAGATGTATCTTAGCTCTGGGAATTGCTATTGAATATGTCAGTACTGTTGTAATGAAAGGCTTCTTCTAATTATGTGGTTATTAAATAAATAAGAAATTTTAATGTAAAAAGAAAATTAAAAAAATATAAAGGCCTATCAATTTGTCTTGAATAAGACCATACCCCAGAATGTTCTCTCCCTCTCTCCTCCTCCCACCCCCTTTTGAGACAGGGTCTCACCAAGTAGCACTGTTTAGCCTGGAACTCACTATGTAGGCCAGGCTGGCCTCAAATTCAGAGATCCACCTGGCTCTGCCTCTCGAGTGCTGGGTTTTAAGGTGTGTGCCACCACACCCAGTTCAGAACGTTCTCATTTTAAAAATTACATTTTATTTATTTGTGTGTGTGCCATAGATTGCATGTGGAGGTCAGAGAGCAGCCTGCAGGAGTCAATTCTCTCCTTCCACCATGTGGGTCTGTGCTGGATAGCTTTGGTTGTCAACTTGACACACCTGGGTAGAGGGAGCCTCAATTAGAGAATTGCCTCCATTGGACTGGCCTGTGGCCATGTCTGTGGGGTATTTTCTTGATTTTTGAGTGATATGGGAGGGCCCAGCTCACTGTGGGCGGTGCCACCCCTGGGCAGGTTGTTCTGTATTGTATAAGAAAGCAGGCTGAGCATGGGCCAGAGGAGCAAGTCAGTAAGCAGTGCATTCCCCCATGGCATGTGCTCCAGCTCCTGCCTCCAGATTCCTCCCCGAGTTCCTACCTTAGGCTCCCTGATAAATTGTGACCTGGGAGATGTAAGCCAAATAAACCCTTTCCTCCCCAAGTTGGTATTGGTCAGAGTATTTTGTCACAGCAATCGGAGGGAACAGGGTCCCAGGGATTGAACTCAAGTCATCAGGCTTGGCATCAAGTGCCTTTACTTGCTGCGCCATCCTTAAATGTAAGCATATTTTCATATATAGAGAGACAAAATCCTGCTCTGTAGCTGAGGTTGGCCTCCAACTTGTGGCCTTCTTGCCTCTACCTCCTAACTGTTCAGTTTTAGGCATGTAGCACATCTAGCTGTAGGTATATTTTAAATTAGTTGTAGCACATGCCTCTCTCTAGATGGGCCTGGATTTCCCAAGCTAGCCCCCTGCAGTGTGGCATGGGCTTTGGACAACCATCTGTCCATGATCACTTGAGGCCCTGGGGACGTGCCTACATCTCAGTGGCTGACTCACACCTGTCGCCCCAAGGCCTCCTCTGCTGGTTGCTGAACCAGAAGCTACTCAGGAACTGAACTTGCTTTGACTCAATTCCTGAGACCCTTCCTTTGGCTAGAATGAAGAAGATATGGTTTAACAGGAACTGAAAGTGCCAGGGGAGTTTCTAGATAGCCCCTTCCCAGTTCCATACATAGGAGAGAAATGTAGACTCCTATAGTTGGAAGAGTGGCTAAGAGAAATTTCTGGGGCCTTTCTTGGAATGCATTACCACTCTGAAATCATCAGTAGCTGGGTTTAGGTCTTGACACCATTTTTCCCCAAGCAGCTGGTCCTGTTTTCAATTTGGTCATTTGGGAGGAATGCTTGTCTTCAAGGACCCATTTCTGTGCATGACTGTCATGGTCACATCCCTGGCTGGCCTTTCTGTAAGAACTGGGGTGATGCAGAGCTCTGCCTGGTAGTTGACCTATGGCTTGGCAGCTCTCTCCCACTCAAGTTAGGCCAGATGGGTCGAAGACAACACCCCACTCAGGCCAATAGGCCCTCTTTCCTTGGCCCCTGCTAGAACCGACTCTGCTCCAGTCCCAGTTCTGCATGCTGGCCCATGGGCACTGCTCCAGAGGAGACCATTTGGGCCTCTTCAAGAGCAGTTTGTCACCCTCTCATTCTTTTTCTGTTTATCTTTCCAGAACTATTTGTAACAGCCCATCATCAGACCTTGTGAATGCTTCCTTTTAAGGCAACCAGGGCATTGGGGTGGGGGAGTTATAAAAGTCTTTTTGAGATGTCTATATGAAATCTTGGCCTTCTCTTTATTTGTATAGGGCATGATGCCAGAATTCTCAGCCTGAGGGTTCACATGGATAAAATGCTATTGTGTCCAAGAATGCTGGTAGTTGAGGTCTCATTTAGCAAAAAGGTGGCATGCTTGGGGACAGGGAGTCAAGACAGACCCAGTCTCTGCTCACAGGCAGGCTCTGTGGGGCATTCCATCTTCCTATTAAGTAGAGAGGTTGGATTAGGCCTCTGAGGGATCTTGAAGTGTTAATAACCTCAGATTTGAAGAAACAGCATAGTATCCTGCCTCTAGGTCATAGCACTAGCCTCATGCAAAGAGGCTGTGTGTGTGTGTGTGTGTGTGTGTGTGTGTGTGTGTGTGTGTGTAAGTTTTCCAAACAGAGCTAGGCAGATAAAGAAAAAGACTACCAATTAACTTCTAGGGTCTGGACATGTTGCCAAGTACGAGTGCAAGCCTCTCATGGTCATTGTACAAACAGCTTTCTGGGAAGCGTAGGATCCAGTGTCAATCTACATGCGTGTGGAGTGGGGGTGAAGGTACAGCCTTATTGAACCTTCAGTGCAGTCTCCATCAGGTCACCAGTGGGTCACTGAAGGGCTACTCTGGGCGCAGGGAGGTGCTCATCAGCTGTCTCTCTAACGCCTCTATAGCCTTGCATTGTCACTGAAATAGCAACAGTCACATGATACTCCAGGCAGCCTGCAAACTGGAGGCACACTGGGAAGCTGTATTGGGGGCAGGCCACCTCCCCGGGTTTACAGGAAGTCTCTGGGCTCACTCTCCCACCCTTTGACCACCCCCCTGGCCACTTGCTGTTTTTGTCAGTGGGCCTTCCTCAGGGTGACTTGATGCAGGCACTGTCAAAAAAAAATGTGATGGCTGAATGGATATGGCTGGGCTCTTCCCATGCCACCACCATCTAGGCAGAACCCATGTCACATGCCTGTTTCTAACAGACGCAGCTTCCCTGTAACCTGGGCAGGCTTCTGAGGGAATGGCCAGAGGCAACTAAGGACATCCACCTCCTCTGCATGCCATTGGGAGGTAGGGTCCAGCCACCCTACCACTTGCCATCCCACTTGCCAGGCTAAGGGCATTTACACCAGGGGTATGTCCAGAGGTGAGAACTAGGGCCTATGCTGTGTGTGCTCCTAGTCCCAGGAAAGCAAGCAAGACTGGCCAGCTGCCCTTTCACCATCTGTCCCACCTGTAGGGTCAGGACATTTCCCAGATGACTTTTCTTCTTCCCCCTTAGCTAAGGCCATAGTCCTTGATCAAAATAGACTACCCCATGCCTGGGGGCTCAGCTGCTGCTCCATATATTGAAGCTGCTTAGCTGGTACCTACCTGTGGGTACCAGACCCCATCAGACCAGGCTTTCTCACCGCAATGCATGCTGACCCCTCCCCCTCTATAGCCTGAGTGAACAGAGAGGCTTCTGTACCCCTGGTCCCTCTCTGTGCCTGCTGCTTCTAACTTTGCCAAGCCTCACAAGAGCAGGGGTTTAATGTAGAGTCACTGACCACCATTTCTCTTCTTAATCCAGAAACCACCACAAACAGAAGTAGCCTCAGGAGACTTTAATTAAAGTGTCCGTGGTCCTTCCTGCACACGGGGATGGAGTACAGACAGCTGAGCTCAAAAGCAGGATTGCAGCTAAGAGGGCAGCTACCAACTGGGGAGGCCAGGATACCACCAGGAAACCAAGCCCACTGTGCTCAGAACCCAGGTTGCAAGGCAAGAAAGCATCACTTTGTGCTTTAGAGTCCAATGGCCACACCTGATGGGCAGTCCCACTAGATTCTGGGCTATCACCCTCTTTGCAGAGGGAAAGCTGAGTCACCAAACTCCAAGAAACACCATACATTTTCCAGCCTCACACTGGCTTTGCCAACCCACAGGCCTGCAAGGTGTGAGACAGGGTAACAGAGGCAGGCCTAGCTCCAAAGTCACCACTGCCACCATGGCTTGGTGGTGGAGGAGCACATTTACAACTACACAAGAAAAGAGCAGGCATTCCATCATTAAACAACACACAACCCATATAAAGAAAAGTGAAATGAGGAAGGAGGTGGGTAAGAGAATGCAAATTGGCACATCGATATATTGCTTTCCAGTTTCAAGGCGACAGATATAAATCAAGAGACAACACAGGGAACTGAAATAAGGGCTGAGTTTGGCTTTTCTAAGTGTGTTCCCCTCAGAGGGCTGGAGAGCCACTGAGATGGAGAGGGATGGGCAGCTAAGCCAGAGGTACCCACTGGGCCCAGAAACATGCAAGGGCAGAGGCTGCTTCTGCTCTCACCACCCACAGGGTAGCTCTGCTCTCAGAAAAAAAGGCCAATTAAAAAACACTGTATGCAGAAAGACACCCTCAAGGGGCTTTTGTTTTCTGCTCAACGCCTTGGGAAGGTTTAAGAACAGACCTGGGGGAAGTCCATGGCCCTGGCTGTCAGGGATCACCATGTGCCATGGGCTTGGCAGGTGCTGTACGTAGACATATCCACCTCCCTTGGAGTATCTGAGCAGGTACAGGAGTCTGCATATGACAATCTACATTTTCTTCTGAGCCATGCCCTTCTTTCTTCTGCTGCTTAGTGGTATCCCTTTCTAGAGGACCAGCTCAGGAACAAAACCTATCAGTTTCCTTTATTCCATCTCCCTGCCTATTCCAAGTCCCTCACATTGTAGCCCTGGCTAGCCTGGCATTTACTACATTGCCCAGGCCGATCTTGAACTCATGGCAATCTTTCTTTCTCAGTCTCCCAAGTTTGAGAGTCCAAGACCCTCTTTTTAAAAAAGTGATGCAACTATTTATGGATTTCCTTCTTCAAAATACTTGGTGGTTCCCACGCTCTTTTTTCACTAAGCTGGGTGGCCGGGGAGAGTTACAGAGACTACCCTGGCTCTCACTGAGGGGCAGGAAGCATGGGGTGGGAGGATGGCAGCTGGACCTACCTTTCTATCTGCCTTTAGTAGGCGCTCCCATTCCCAGGCCTGGCTTTCCTAACCTCCATGTTTCTGATGCTCCAGAACCATCAGAAATGACTCCAAATGAAAACAGAGCTGGCTTCTGAAGGAAGACAAAATGATCCCGGGACACACACTGTCCGCGGCATACATTCTAGTATCTTAGTAGGTATCTGAATCTGTTAGGAAAAAAATTAGAAACTATGTATAAAACTTAAAAATATTCAAGTATCAAAAAGCTATTTCGGATCAAAGTTTTAAAACAAGTCACTGGCAACCTGCTGCTTCAGAGCAGAAACTTCTACAAAAGTTAACTAAATCTGTTCAGTTGAGAGCAAGGAAAGGAAGCGATCTGTGTGTGGGGCAGCAAGGGACAGGAGAGCAGAGGCAGGCCAGAGAAGTCACAGCCTTTGTAAGTCAAAAGGGAGAACTAGTGCCAAGTAGGCAGTCAGAATCGATGGTCACTCTCCCTGGGGAAGGAACTGTAAGGTGCATGACCTGGGCCTCCTTTCCCTTGGTGTCTGGTCCCTGGACACATCTGAGCTGCAGATGGAGTGGCCTCCTGAAAAGTGTACAAACAGCAAAAACAAAGCAAGGGGCAAACAGCAGGAAACAGACCTATTTCTGCACAGAAATCCTTTTAGAAAGAAAAAGCAAGCAGCAAATAGAGTCAGGATGCTACAGTGTTGACTTAGCTTCTCAAACCCTGTTACAAATAGAGCAGAATTTCTAAGTCAGGGAAATCCAAATGTTCCCACCCACACAGGGACATGGCTGTGGCCCCCACTGTACGAAGCAGCAGCGTTTATTCAAGACACAATAGTGAGGGAATCTGGTGGCGTATTCCCCAAAGAGGGTGCATCAGGACAAGTGACCCAGTAGAAATTTTTTTTTTTTTTTTTTTTTTTTTGTCTTTTTGAAGCAGGGTCTCCCTGTAGCCCCAGCTGTCCTGGAACTCACCATGTAGACCAGGCTGGCCTTGAATTCACAGAGATCCACCTGCCTCTGCCTCCCAAGTGCTGGGACTACAGGTGTACGCCACCACTCCCGGCTTGAAATTTTTTAAACTATGATAAATTAAGTTAATAAAAACCACTCCTGCTAACCACCTCTTTTCCTTGCAGGCAGGCCAGCAGAAGTCGGGCTGGCTTGGGGTGCCCTCTGGTGGCAAAAGCAAAAAGCACAGTCCGAGGCCAGCCTGGGGCTTGCAGACACATCTGGAATGATCTGTGTAGGCCATTGGCCTTTTGCTTTGGGTACTTGTCTCTTGGCAGATGGCCCAGAGCTTGAGAATGGCCCAGTTATAGAGGAAGGTTCCATTCCCACTCTGCGAATGGACCCTTTAGTCACAGGTTTCCAAGTCGTTCTCTTGGCCTCTTGAGATGATGCTAGGCCTTTAGACTTCAGTGGAAAACAGGATGCTCTGTCTCTTGCTGTCTGGGGCAGGGATGGCCTCCAGCTGCAGGAAGTACAGCAACACTTGGACCTGCCCCGGGAGAAGAGGTAAGCAAGTCAGAGGGGTGCTCTAGGCTGTGGGTGGGAAGCCCATCTTGGCTCAAGCTCACGGATGGGCTCAGGTGCTGAGGAGTCCCTCACTTCATTGGATTAGGTGGAGTCTTGACTATACATGACTTGGGGTTATTTTAAGATCCAGGCAAGGTGCACCTGAAGGATTATCCGGTGGGTTGAGCCAGGTGTCCTGTGAAGCCTGGCCAGGTACAGAGGGAAAAGCAAAGTGGCCAGGCCCCTCCCTGGCCCTCTCAGTGGTCTGGGCTCGGGCTCTCTCCACCAAAACCTCTGCACTGGAGGTATGAATGACTGGCAAGACTCAGGGCAGGGTAAGCAGAGGTCACCTCTTTTAAGTCAGGTGACTAGCGTTTGTCTCCTATACCTGGGACATGACCTCCAGGGACCAGCTGTCAGTCATGGTGATGGGCTGGCTGGGGTTGGCAGGGAGCTTGCTTTCCTTTTCTGAGGGTCGAAGTAGCGTGGGGCCAAAGACTGTGGCGAGGTTGTGTAGGGACATCTTGTTCACCGTCTCCTTTTCAGCCACCCTGTGGAAAGTCAGAGCAGAGGGTATAATTTCAACATCACAATCGGGATAGAAGTGAAGACACTGTCCACCTGGAGTCCCCATGGCATATCATGACAGGCATTACCCCTTTCTGCCATGTGCAGTCTACAGAATAGTCACCTGGGGAAGGAGAGACCTTAGCTCTCGTTGTGCTAAAAGCAGAATGCACTCAAGTTTGAGGAGCACGAGATAAAAAGAACTTGAGGCCAATGGGCAGCTGGGGCAGCTCCAGGCCATGATTTGGGGGGTGAAGGACAAGTTCAAGTGTACTTCTGGCTGTGGCTGAAGCGTCTTGTATTTGCTTAAAGCAGAGGAAGGGAGGATGGCAATAACTTTAGTAGTCTCCAGAATGGGTGTTAACTGTAGGCCAAGCAAGAAGAAAAGGCCCTTGGTACCAGAGGACATCCCTACCCAGCTTCCTGGGGTCCTGGGATGCATGGGAGAATAGAGGCTACCTTTTCAAGTGGTCCAGAAGGAAAAGGAAGGTCAGCAGGTTGGCTTCCGGGAGGGACAGCAACAAGTTGAGCATGCAGCTCTCCTTTGCAACAGGGTCTGAAAGAGCTACAGAGGAGGAACTTTAGTTCCCAGGATCATAGCACAAGCTGGAGACTTCTCCAGAAGATGGTCAGATGAAACACTCAGGGCATGTACTGGAAGATGCTGGGGAGTCCAGGCTCACACAGCACTAACAACCCTCTAGTACCACTGAGGACCCTGTGGCAGATGCCGATGTGGCATGTGAGACATCCAAAAAGTCTTCTCTCATCTCAAAGGGGCATTTGCACCTGGGGTACCTATACAGCAGGCTCTTGAGAGTAATTGCTTATGGGTAGAACTATACTCAGGGCCTCTTTCTGCTGCTGCAGGTACCAAGGAAGAGCCCAGGTATGGAAGGAAGCAGCTAGAGATGGGGCAAAGAGTGTTGAAGGCACTAGGCCCCACCCCCACCTCTAAGAGCTTCCCTTATTATCATGTGTCCCTCGAGGGCACTTTCAGGCTTGAGAGACCAGGTCCTCTGGTGAATGGGCCCCATAGGCTGGGCTATCCTAAGGGGGAGGTGAAGTCTGTATTTTCCTCATGTGCTAGGGCTTGCTTCGGGCATCATCCTCCAGGTTGACTAAGGGTCAAGGCTGGGCTTGACTCTCTGCTTGACTGGGCCAGGACATAGTGTTAGAGGGATATAGGGTTCTCCCTGGCTTGAGAAGCCATTCACTCAGCCCTGCTCTAAGAAAGGAGGGCTGTGGCCTTCAGGGCCCCATATCTAGACACAGCCATGATGATACAGGCTGATTACCTCTCCGTGAGAATGGGCTTGGCTCTTATCCCCCACCCTGCACAGCTACTTTTCTTAGGTGGGTTGAAATGTGGACCATGGCAAAGGTAAACAGCTCCGATTCCCCCTCCTAAGGTGCCAGTGGACAGGAGAACAGGTAGGGAAATGCCTCCCACAAGGTTGAGGCCTTCAGTGCTCACCAATGCCCTCAGCGAAGTTAGGGTAGAACTCATCAGTGAAGAGGGGCTCAGGCAGCTCACGGAAGTAGAGCTTCAGTGTGCCAGCAATGGCGTTCACATCCATCTCGCTCATCATCACTGATACATCCTTGTTATCTGGAAAGAGCATGAAAATGGAGCCTCTATGTGGATTCCAGGACTGGACTAATGCAGTCCCTACCATGTTGACCACTGTGTCGGTCCAGCCCTTTTGCACAGTTTGTCTTCTTCCTCCCAAGCATCTGTGTGGTTCTGAGTCTGGGGCAGGGTTGTTGGGGAAACAAATGTATCCCCACACCTCTGCCTGCTCCATGAGAAGCAACCCAGCTGCAAAGCCAGATGGGCCTGGGCAGGAGAAGGTGGTGAGGTCATAGAGCTGAGTAGGAATTGGGCAGCTCTGTTCTATACATAGCAACTGCCCAGGTGGCAACATCTTCTACTAACATGAAGGCACTGGGATGATTTGAGTCATTTTAGTGTTCACACTGGTGCTTTTCTTTGGATTCAAGTAGCCATTGGTTCTCTGCACCACAGGGCAGGCCCACTCTGGTTGTCCAGAGGTACTGGAGAGACAGCAGGGCTCACCCAGGGGTGCTGGGCCCTTGACAACTCCAGGTGAGGGTGGGTGGTGGGAAGACTGCAGGAACAAAGTCTTGCTGAGTCCTGCTTCTGATGACTCCTTACTCTTTGAGGATGTTGGGTAAGGCCCCTTTGTGAGTCTCAGGGTCCTTGCTTGGAATATTGGGGCAGTTCTGTCCTCCTGCAGTTTGTGAGGCAGAAGCACCACAGCATCAGTAGGAATTGGGTCAAATCTGTGCCTACTGTCCCACATCATCCTGAGGTGGGCCACTGTCAAACTACATTGGGATTTAGCATCTCCTGTCCGCCCCAGGGTATCAGGTCAAGGCCTACAGAATCCCAAGGTCCAGCCTGATGGCTATGGCCAGAAGATAGAAGATTTTTTTTTAAAAAAAGATTTATTTGTTTGTTTAATGTGTGTCTGCCTGCATGGGTGCAACCCATAGAGGCTAAAAGGTGTTGGGCCCTGGAACTGGAGTTACACACAGCTTTGAGTTGTCACATGCGTACTGGGAATTGAAGTGGGTCCTCTGAAAGAGAAGTAAATACTCTTCTTTTTCTTTTGAGGCGTGCAATGTTTGAGGCAGCACCTGAACTCCTGGTCTCAAGTGATCCTTTTGTCTCCTGAGAAGCTGGTAATATAGGTGGATATCAGCATGCCCAGTTCACACTATGTCTCATCTTTATTTATTTATTTTTGGTCTTTTTGAGACAGGGTCTCCCTGTAGCCCCAGCTGTCCTATAACTCACTATGTAGACCAGGCTGGCCTTAAACTCACAGATATCCACCTGCCTCTGCCTCCCAAGTGCTGGGATTAAAGGCGTGTGCCACCACGCCTGGCTTCATCTTTATTTTTATTATTATTATTGTATTTTGAGACAGGATCTCACCCTGGCGAGCCTTGAACTTGTATCAATTCTCTGTCTCTGTCTCATGAGTGCTGGGATTACAGACGTGCTATCTAATTATCCTTTTTTCTTATGTGTATGAGTGTTTTGCCGGCATGTGTGTAAATGTACCTGTGTTGTACAATGCCCACAGAGGTCAGAATAAGGGTGTCACGTCCCCTGGAACTGGAGTTTCAGATGTTTGTTAGCCACGTGGGTGCTGGGACCTAAACCTGGGTCTTCTGCAAGAGCCACCAGTTCTCTTAACAGCTGAGTCATCTTTCCAGCCCCATCTGTCTATCTATTATCTATCATGTATCTATCTGACATAGGGTCTCACTATGTAGCTAAGGCTGGCCTGGTATGTACTATGTAGACCAGGCTGGACTCAAACTTACAATCCTCCTGCCTTATACTCTTGAGTGCTAGATTATAGGCTTTTTCATGCTTTCATGTCCAGCTTTCACCTTGTATTCATAAATAATAAAACAATAAGGAAAAGGTAACGAGAATGATGTGACAGGCTCTCTGGAAGTCTCAACATGGATGCTACCAGCCACCTCCATCCCACACTGCCTGGGCAATACTCACTGACGTCAAAAGCTGCCTTCAGTGCCTGGATGTCCGTGGCCACTCCAGATACTCGGTAGATGCCCACCTCCTCCATGCCCCGGCGCTCAATCTCCTCCACACACTGGCGCACAATGTAAGGTACTTTGGACCTCTCTCTCCTGTAGTGGGGAGAGAAACTGTCCTCAGCGCCCTGTCAGCTCTTTGTATACCTGGAGATGTGTGTGAGAAAGGTGTGCAGGGTGGGGGCTACACGTATAACCTTGGGCATGATTTCTTTCCTGCTGTGATCTCATAGGTAGCGATGCGTACATTTTTATCAGGGACTTTCTAAGAGCCTGAACCAGCCAATTACCTTTCAAATTGCACATGATCCTCTGTAAAAGGTCAAGAAACTTTTTTTCCCTCTATAGTGTTGAAGAGAACGCAGATATACCTTACATATGCTGGGCAAGTACTCTAGCTGTATCCTCAACCTAGGAGGCTTTTCTAGGTGAAGCTGTCATAGGAAGTACAGGTAAAAAAGATACCAGGCTGTGAAGTAACAGAAAGCTGTGTAGCGTCCTGAAAGGCAGTTGTGCCTCTAAGACGGGAGATGGGATAGGATCTTGACCAGCTACCTGGCTGCTATGCAGTGAAGTCCTTGATGCTCTAGAGATAAGCCCTATGGAAATCAGGCACTGTGCATCTGCTGAGTGTTCAACTCTTTAGGGTTATCCAAGCACCTTGCCATTCTAAATGCTTTTCTCTGCCTTAAAAAATATTTTAAAGATTTTATGTGTATGAGTGTTTTCCTGCAAGTAAGTGCACCACATGCTTGCAATGCTCAGGGGCCAGAAGAGAGCATCAGGACCCCTGGAACTGGAGTTATGAATGGTTGTTAGCCCCTAGGAGGGTCCTGGGAACCAACCCCCGCCGGCTTCTATAAGAGCACAGCCAGTGCTTTTTAACTGCTGAGCCACCTCTCCAGCCTTGCTTTTCTCTTCTGAATTGTACCAACAGATAATCCCAGACCCTCCTGGTAGAACTTTGGATCCAGAATACTTTAAACACAGAAAGAGCCAGTGCTATGTGGAGGCCTGAACTTAGCTTTACTTAGAGCTGGACTCAGCACAGTGAAGTCCTTTCCCAAGCCCCTCTCACATGGTTATATGGGAGAGGTGAGGGTGGTGTCCTCCTCCCCAAAGTGCTGTGGGACAGCAGTGGTGTTTGCACAAGTGGGGAAGTCTGGGTGTTGAATGACATACACCTCATCCCAGACAATCTGGGCGGTGTGGTGGTGGTGGTGGGCACAGTATGACTCCATCCTGGGAACGGAATGGAATCTGTGAGGAAGTGGCCTGTATCTCCAAGAATTACCCTCAAACCAACAAACAGGCTTCTCCTAGCAACAGACTTATGACAAAAGGGCAGGGGTTGGATTCATTCACCAGGAACCTGGGATCATAATAAATTCTAAGTGAGAGAAGCAAGCCCTGCACTTGGGCAATTCCTGGAGTCAGGCAGCAGCCAGTCCGTTGTTGCCAAAGGAAGGAGGTAAGGATATTCCAGAGCTGGTTTTGCAATAAACACGGAAGGTGGCTAAACAAGCACAGTGCTCCCCGGAGCGGAGCAGGGACACCTCTCCACAAAGCCACCAGGGCTATGCACTGGGAGAAGGGAACAGACCTGCTCCTTCCCTTGGAAATGCCTGCAGAATGCTCTCAGTGAACAAGCCCACACCCTCTGACTCACTTTGTGACCACGGCAATCTTGACCCCGAAGACCCCTGTCTGTTTGCGGGAAGGCATTCTCTTCAAGCTGAACTCTCTGCTTGTGAACTTGACTGAAAGTTTTACTTCAACCTGCAGTAGAAAGAAAGGGCATAGACCTTTCTCCCTCTGGTTCTCAAAGCCTGAGGTCTCAGCGGGGATCCCAACAAACCTTTCTACCCACAGGACAGACAGATCAATGTTCCAGAGTAAGGGAGAGGAAGCCCCTGGACTAGCCAGTTAAGAATCAGGAATGGTGAAGACTGGACAAGGACTAGTTTGCCCAGAGTCTCTTCCCACAACCTCATGGTTTCACTTTCTTCTTAAATAAAAGTTAAAAAAAATAAGTAGGTGGGAATGGGGTGTAGCTCAGTGGTAGCACACATGCTTAGTATGTACAAGGTTCTAGATTCAATCCCCCAGCATTAAACGCAAAACAAATAAACAAAAACCCTCAAATACTCCAAATGAAACATCACAATAACAGAACAAGCAGGCCAAGCATCCTAATCTGGAAATCAGAAGTCTGAAATGATCTAAAAGTTCTCAGAAATTGGAAGCCAACCTGACACTGCATGTGGAGAATTCCATACCTGACTGACCTCCTGTTAATGAGTTAAAAATACATATAAGGTATATATTAAATACTAGTGAATTGTGTGTTTATATTTGGGTCTCATATCCAAGATTGCCTATGGATATACAAACATTTCAAAATCAGAAGGAGGAAAAAAAAGGAAATAACCTCCCCACCCCCCCCCCAAAAATCACTCCAAAACTGCTTCTGGTCCTCAGCATTTTGGATAACAATCAACCTCTATAAATTGCCCCAAGGTAGCTGAAGACTAAGGCTCTCAGTTTTTGTGGGATGACCTCTGGGCCTCTAGAACCACAAGAGGGTGTGCACAGTCTGGCTGGGGATTGTTTCAACCACCAAACCGGGAGGATTCCTTCCTTCTTGGGGGGGGGGCAGGGGGATGTCTCTCCTCAGCCCTGCACACAACACTCTTGCTCTGGTGGTTTTCCTTGTTCCTGTCTACACTGCTCTGGGGGCCTCTCCCCTCTCCAGACACTGTCTCAGGCTTAGCCTTCTTCTGACTCGTTTTGGAAAGAACTGGAGTCACTCTAACTTTTTGTGGGAAATGGGCACAAAGAGAGCCCTGTAGGCACATACCCCATTCATGGCAATGACAGTCCGTTGCCAGTCTCTGTTCTGCAGGGTCTGGGGGTCCAGCTGAAAGCAAAGAGAGGGATGATTAAAAGAGGCCCTTGGGTCTGTTCAGAGGCCCTGTTCTGGTAATGGCCATCATAGCCTACATGGGAAGCAGTCCCACTGTGGCCAGCACCTCTATCCAGAGGCCAGGAGTAGCCACAGAAGGGAGAGGGCCTGTTAGAAAGCCCTGGAACCTCAGGGCTTCCTAACAGTGTAAGTGTGTGGTAGCTCAAGGCCATGAACCTCCCTTCATACCGCTCACCCCAGATGTGGCCTAAAGTTTTAATTCCCTTTGTCAGAAGTGCTGCAAGATGCTCAGTGGAGTGTAAGCAGGTAGTATAAAGACCCATTTCAGTAGTGACTATTAGAGGCACGACATCCAAGAGCCAATCCTGTTTTCCCCCTGTGTTGTGGTTTGGCATGTGTCAAGAGAGGCTTCTGGTCAAGTCAGTCTTATGGCTTAGTCAAGCCCAGAAGGATACTGAACCTCACCTAAACACATAGTTGAGGGGCAGAAGGCAGCCTTACTGCAGTCCCTCTAATTCTGGCCTCTATAGAACACTGTCTAGCAGGTGGTCTATAGGAAACTATCATTTAATGTCATCTAAATCAAGTCTTCATGGATACCACATGCTGTCCCTGTAGGTGAAGGCTCTGCCTCCCCTTTCTGATGAGCACTCATTATCACAGACTTCAAAAAGACTACCAGCTAGGTCTGATGAATAAGTACCTGGGGTTGAGGGGAGGGTGTCCTTGTTCACCACCACCACTACCACCGACAACAAAACCTACTATCTAGGACTAGAGGTATGGCTCCATGATAGAGCTCTTCCTGGCACCCACTAGACCCTAGTTTTTATCTTTAGCACCCAAAGAAATAAGAAATAAAGAATACCACTTTCCTGGGCTTTTCCTACAAAGAACTAAGCTCCTTTCAGGGTGGGAGTCTATGGTATTGGACAGCTCCCTTACTTGCCTTCTCAGTTGTCTGAGGAGGTTTTTCCCTGTAGGGATTCCAGGGCCCACCTATGTCCTACATGTCCAAGGAATGGGGCATCATGTCCCCCCTTCTTCAGAAACAAATTGAGCAAGACAAACCTCTTTCCCTCCAAAGACAGTAATAAACTCCTCCCTCAAAAACCCAGAATCAGCAAAAGCCACAGACAAACAGTCAAGACTGGGCTAGCAGTAGGGTGTGGGAAAGCAGTCATCTGAGACATCTGGGTGATAGGGTCCCCCCCAGCTCCCAGCCCACCCAGAGCCCAAAGTCCACTCACTGGCCCACCTTGCCCTTGCACACCAGACATCGGATGTGGGTCCACAGGGCAGTACCTCGGGCACACAGGTGCTTTTCAGCAGAGGTTATCCGGCTCCCGCCTGCCCGGCTGGGGTGGAAATACCGAAGGAGGCCCTGCATGGTGCTGGGGGTCAGATAGCAAGAGGCTTGTAGGGCTGGATAGCAAAACAGTGGTGAGCTCCTGGCCTCTGCCTCCTTTTGAACAGGCTTCCAGGGAAGCTCCGCCCTACAGTTAGGCCAGCCAAGGTCACAGTTTCCCATCACCCTTACATTCCACTTTGTTGTCAGTGTATGGGAAAAACAGCCTCCCTGCTCCCAAGCCTATTGGTTACGGGAATTCCAATATGTCACAGTCTCCTCTTAAGCTTCCTTTCTAAGTGGCTGGTTTCCTGTGGTCCAAATTTGGAGACACTGAGTAACATGTATGTGACTGGCCAGTACACTTCAGGCTTTTAATGCCCTGAAAACTGCTTTGAGGACTGCTGGTACTTCCAAATCTCATGCATATACAATGGAATCAGGGCAGAGGACACCCTGCCTATGGATCCTGCTCCCTGCAGGCAAGCTGTCTGAGCAATGAGCGGCCCTGTACAGAGTTCTAGACATTGTCCACTCTCAAGCACAGACAGCTACCTACTCCCACCTAGAGCTGATGCTGCCATGTCAGCGCTCCATTAGGCCCCTATCTGTAGCTTAACTTGGTCTCTGGGCACTGAACCCTCACAGCATCCTTAAATAGGTGGATCAAGCAAGAAAGGCTATCCTGAAACTAGCTCTGCCTCAAAGAACGGCGTGTGCTTAGCAGGGTAGAAGCTGCACAAAGAACAGCAGGACGAGGAAGGTTGGACTATACCCCAAACAGCATTCAAAGCTGGCACACTCTCATGTGCAGTTATTTAAAGCATCAGAGAGATAAACAAACAAGAGACTGGGATTTGAAAAATACCGATGACTGAGGGGAGGCTGGGAAACAGCAGTCAAGGGAAAAGCTAAAACACTGGGGTACCACTGAGGGGCCCTCTCTGGGTTGTAAGGTCTCAGTGGGGCATGTGCTTGCTCTGCACAGGTACTGGGCAGGCAACATTTGGCTGCTCACACTCAGTGACCTCAGAAGGACAGTCTTTATCACTGCTGTCTCCTTGGGGTTGGACTAGGCAGGGGCCTTGGAAGAACAGTTGTGTTCAGTGGGTCTGGTGGACCGTTTTCCTAGAAAACTGTCTAGTAGGCACACTGCAGGACAAGCTGGGGAAAGGCAAGCTGGGAAAGCCTAAGCCCAACTGGGACAGGTATTGAATGGGACTTGGAGCCTCTTCTACCTAAGACTGGAAAACAACTGTTCACATAGACTATGAGCATGTGCTCACAGTTTTTAGCAACTATTGATATTACCAAGTGGATGACTCTTAAAAACATTACCAGTCATAAAAGACCACTTCTGGTACGATTCTATCGGTATGTGAAATGTTCAGAATAGACAGATCTCTAAGGACAAAATCCAGATGAGCCTGATGTCCCTGTTGGCACTTGAGTCATAAGCCCAGCAGGACATGCGAAATAGGAGAAATGGTACAAGAGGAAGCAGGGCATGGTAGCGCATGCCTTTAATCCCAGCACTCAGGAGGCAGGGGTAGATGGATCTCTATGAGATTGAGGCCAGCCTGGTCTGCATCGTGAGTTCCAGGCCAGCTGGGGCTACAGGGAGACCAAAAAACTAAATAAATAAAATAAATAAAAAGGCACAGAAGGAAGGAGAAACAGGAAAAAACAAATTTCTATGACCTAACTAAGAGAAGGAAAGAGGGCAGGGGAAATTATGAACAGTGACAAGGCTCTAAGAGTCTTGGGCTTTGCTGATTCTAGTAATTTCCTTTGGGCCGATCCTAGCCTAGGATGTATAGGGCACCAGACAGTGCCTTCAGGCCCTGGCCCTGCCCTGCCCACACCCACCAAGCTACAGACTAGCATCCTCCCAGATACACTATGCATCATGCACCCCTACAAATCCTGTGCTCTTGCTGGTCTTGGGGTATACATGTCTTCACCTTGAGAACTCTTCCTGAAGACACACCCAGTGTTTCCTTCCCTGAGGTCTCTCAATGCTGACCTTGCCTTGCCATCAGTGCCGTCGGAGCCTGTGATAACTGCAGCAGGGCCTGCCCTGGCTTTTGGCACATCTGCAATTACCTTTTCGGGGCTCTCTGCACTGAGAACTACAAAGCTTTGAGATAAATGTCTTCTTGTTATGGAGTCCTGGGGCCTGGAGAGTAGTTTCTCCGTCATGAAGGCAGCACAACAGGCTCTTGTGCATGAGGTCTTTGCTGGGTGGGTCACACTTAGGGCCACCTTCGGAAAGGGCACTGCTGAAGGCCTTGTGTCCCGACCTACATGCAAGGGCTCACTTTTTCTTTGCCAGTGACGCCCTGAACAGTTGGTGCCATCCTGGTATCTGTGTCCTCAGTCAGGGCTACCACATCCCTCTGCCTCTCTGGCTATGGCTCTCATGCCTCCTAGGTTCAGGAAAAAGGATCCCTCCATTTTTCTCTTATGGAGCTCCCACCTTGCAGGAAGAAAAGTGGGGATCTGACAGTTCAACTGGGACAGTCATTTGAAGAGTAGGAGTAGAAACCAAAGACTCAGGTTGTGGTTCCCAAACTGTGTTTATCAGCACCATTTAGAAAAGCAAAAGCATACTGAGTCAGGACCTCAAACCCCGAAGTGGGTGGCACCTCCTGCCTGGAGATGTATATGAGAAACATCACTAGAGACTCAGTTTTCCTCCTGGTCCCTCCCTTGGGCCCTGCTCTCCTGGCTGGGTCTGGACTTCTTGTCCTCCCTTGGACACTTCATGGTACTGTGCCTTCTTGCCCTTGGCAGTAATGGCCTCATCTCACAGTAATGCCTAACAAAGGTATATGGCCATAGGCTATACCATCCCCATTGACTCCCAGTAGCTGGAAGCAGACAGCTTGGTACACACCCCACATAGCAAGCACTGTCAGCACTGATGTCAATGGGAAAGCCTAGGCTCAGGAAGGCTGTCTCCAACAAGTCATGGATGCCTCTTCCAGGTATATCCCACCCAGAAAATGGTATCTATAGGAGAGAAAAAGCCAGGAGGCAGGAGAAAGAAGCCACACGGGGGTGTCAGGGCATCATCAACATCACTGCTCCTCCTACAGCTTCCTTCCTCCTGGGATCCCACAAACAAGTCCTTGTTGCTAGGAGCCTGGATCTCCAGGAGCCAGACCAGGCACTGTGTAGGCGACATGAGTCAACCAAGCCCTTCACAGGGCACTCTGGTTCCTTCCTGTTTAATGAGGCTCCAGAGGCCATTCATCTTGGAGACCAAAGCAGTACCCAGGGCTCAGAGCAGGATCTGGCTGTTTCCACTGCCTCTTCACTAATAGTGATAGTGACACATCACTGAGTGTAAACTGCATTATGTCCCCCCACTCCAACTTATAGGTAAGAAAACAAAGCTGGGCAGGGGTGAGTAGCAATGACTCACTTGGATCACACACAGCACGGTAAGGCCAGGGAACTGACAAAGATTGTCTTTACTAAGCTCTAAACAGTCTCTGATCTCTATTCAATGGAGCCTCATCCCTGGGCATGCTCTCAAGAGCCCAGTTTGAACAAGAAACCTGATCAGTCTTATTAGAAACTTCTATCCTGATATATTTTGGGGGAGGGGTGTTTGTGTGTGTGTGTGTGTGTGTGTGTGTGTGTGTGTGTGTGTGTATGTGTGTTCACATGTGTTGGAGGCCAGAGGCCAACCTCAGGTGCTATTCCTCAGGTGCTGTCTATCTTCAATTTTTTTTTTTTTTTTGGTCTTTTTGAGACAGGGTCTCCCTGTAGCCCCAGCTGTCCTGGAACTCACTATATAGACCAGGCTGGCCTCGAACTCACAGAGATCCACCTGCCTCTGCCTCCCGAGTGCTGGGATTAAAGGTGTGCGCCACCACGCCCAGCTGTTCTTCATTTTTTTGAGCCAGGATTTCCCACTGGCCTAGAACTTGTCAAGTAGGCTGGACTGGTTAGACAAGTGAACCCTAGAAACCTGCCTGTATCAACCTCTCCAGCACTGAGCTGACACTGGGCTTTGTTTTTTGACAGGGTCTCCCTGTAGCCCCAGCTGACCTGAACTCCCTATATAGACTAGACTGGCCTCAATCTCACAGAGGTCTGCCTGCCACTGCTTCTGTCTCATGAATGCTAGGACTAAAAATGTGCACCACCAGACCCAGTATATATACACACATTCCATAGCATGTGTGTGGAGGTCAGAGGATAACTTGGAGGAGTCAGTTTTCTCCTTGCACCATGTTGGACCTGAGGATTGAACTATCTTTAGGCTTGGTAGCAAGGGCCTTTACCCACTGAGCCATCTCATTGACCCTTTTTATTTTTTTTAAATGTGGGTTCTGGAGATCGAACTCAGGTCCTCATGTTTGTAAGGCAAGCATTTTACCAACTGAGCTAGCCTCCATCTCATTCAGCTCCAAGTTTTGTTGAGACAGTATTTCATGAAGGCCAGGCTGGTCTCAAATTCAGTATGTAGTCAGAACTGAACTCCAGAATTTCTTGTCTCTACCTCCCAAGCGCTTGAACTACTACAAGTGTGCAACACTACCCTTGATATCTGATCAGGCCCCTATCTCCCACCTTCCTCCAGGTAATGTCTGCTCAACTGGCCTACCTTCAGCAAGAATCCTATTAGGCTGGTCTAGCCAGAATCCTCCCTCCTCACATTTCCTCTTAGTAATCTTCCATTCATTGACTCTCACCCTGTTCCTTGGTTGTAAATTCCCACTTTACGCTGTATCTGGAGTTGAGCCCTGTTCTATACAAAGGTCTCTCTTTCATATTGGAATTATCCTGAATAGGATCTGTTTTTACTGCCTTCACTATCCTCCAGCTCTGGGTTTTCTCTTCTTTTTCCTGGACTGATGCACGGCACTCAGGCCATCTGAAAAAAAAGCAAATGCATCAAGAAACATTTTGTTCCTATGTGCATAAAGTAGGAATGGTAGCCATAGTTTAGGCCCTCAGTGATAATCTTGAGATGGTGGGAGCTTTCAGAAGCGGGGCCTAGTGGAAGGTCCTGACGTCACTGAAGAGCTGCTTCTGGGAGGGATTACAGACGTTCTCATGGGACTCTTGAGTTCTAGTGAGGTCAAATTGTTGTAAGATCAAGCCTGATCCCCAAACTCTCCCTGGCTTCCTGTTTCAAGATGAAATCTCATCTTTCCACGGAACTACTACTACAATGGCCTTCTCAACCGAGAAGACCCTTACCAGAGACTGAACCCATGGGCTGCTGCTCCATTGTGGACTTTTCAGCCACCAAAACTGAAATAAATAAAGCTCTTAAAAAAAAAAAAGGTAATGTTTCAGGTATTTTGTTATAGTACAGAAAAATGGACCCATGTGACACACAACCAAGGGCCTAACTATGGCTATCATTCAAACTATAACTATTACTTGGTAGATGTGAAAATACCTTGGTTCTTTAAAAAGACCAACACTAGTAACATGGGATATTATGAACTGCCTTGGTGTCCAAGGGGAATACAGTCAATCTATGTGGCTGGCTCCATACAAAGGTAGGAAGGGTAAAGGCTACATGGTGGGGCATGGGCAGGAAACAGAGAAACATACTTGCTTTCAGGCCCACTCTCAATGTATGGGAGTCCCAGAAGGCCCCAAGCCCCTGAGTTCCCTAGGGAGTTTCCACAGTGAAAACCTGCTAGTAGCCTGCACATTCTAGGACTCTGGCGAGGCCGGGGCAAGATCTTGCTAATCTGAGAGAGGGGAATATGGGTTCTCCTCACAAAGCCATAAATTACTCAGGGAAAACACAAGGTGATTTTTACTTCCTGCTTCTGGGGAAGGAAGGTGGTGCTTTTGGGTGTACCCTATGCTTTCATAGGGGTCTAGGATGACAAACCTTCTTCTTCCCCTAGTGGCCTTACACAAAGATGGAAGGTCTAGGCAATGGAACACAATACCCCAAACCTGACCCACCTCCAGGTCAGGAGGAGGCCAGATGCAAGTGGCTGAGCTATGTCTAATAAAATACATCATAAGGACAGTAAAATGAGAGGCAGGAGAATTGCCTGGAAGCTTGCAGTCCAGCTCATCTGGAGTATATAGCCTAGCAGCAGAAACAAAAGACCATGAACAAGATGGAAGATGTTCTACGATGTAGTTTAAAAAAAAAAAAAGATACACTAAAAGGAATATATATACATATATATACTGGGACTCCCCCTACTCCCTCTTTAAGACTGGATTTCTCTATGTAGTTCAGACTGGCCTCTAACACGAGATCCTCCTGCCTCAGCCCCCAGAGTGATCACAGGTGTGTGCTACTACACCCGACTGCAAACGGATTTTTTCCTAGCTACCACTGTAGAACTGTTGGGCAGAGTCATGAGGGCAGGTAGTGCTACTTCCTGTCTGCCTAGAATTAGTAAACTCTGGCGATATTTCCAGGCTGGAAAACCCGCACTGGTCCTGTATGGGCACATTCCCATGGCTCTCCTATACCAGGAGGGGGACCCACGTGCACCCTGTTCAGGTATGCAGCTGGAGGATGGATCTATATCCCAGAAGGGAGATGAGTTGACTCTGGGTAGGACTCCTACTGTTCCAAAAAGAGATGCTGCCATAACTACCAATTACAGCCTAGGGCACTACCTACTATGATTTGGGGCTATTGTATCCATGGAGGTTCTGAGGCCCCAGCTGTAAGAACAAGTTTATCAGAAATTGGGGGATGGGAGGGAGAACAGGATGAAATACAACAGTCAGAGGAGACGGACTCATGAGGGTGCTGGCCCAGGCTTCCCATGGCTCTCCACCCCATCCCAAGAACCAGGCCATCTCAGCAGTCTTACATGGGAAAGATCATGGAGCATCCAGGCAGTCTCACCTGGACTTGGCCTTTCCCCATGAGCCTGTCTGCACTCTCGCCGTCCTCCTTGGCAATCTTCATTTTGTTGTAACACTTTTCATAGCACAGTATCCGCAGAGTCTGGGAGCCTTCCAGCTCTATCTCAAACTCCTGTGGTCCCAAAAGAAAGAAAGTGCCCACAAATAAACAGGTAGTTCAACATCATGTCTGAACCATGACTCACCAACAATGGTGCCCCTACTGCCCTAGAATGACCTGTGCCTTGCACAACTCTCCTCACTTGATCCAGGGACCTTCAGGAGCATTCTCTATGGACAACACTGTCACTACACGGTAACTCTGCCTGAATACTTCTGGAAGCTCTGAATCCCTCTCAAACTTAATTTAAACTTGGTAAGCCAGCATTGCCAAAGAGTGGTCTCAGCACCATTGGTATCAGACTCTCAAGAGTGCTTGTTAAAGATACAGATAGTCTATGACTTTGGGTGGCAATGTCCTATAATGTGGGTTCATTTTTAGGGCAGTGAAAGTATTCTGGATGGTACTGTTATGAAGACACATGCCATTATTGATTTGTGAAAATCAACTGATGATGTGTTGATACACATTTACTGATTGTAAAATGTCACACAAGATTTTAATAGTAGGGAGGGTGTATGGGAATCTGTCCTTTCCCTTAATCCTGCCATGAACCTAAAATTCCTCTGGAAAATAAAATTGAAACTAGCAGTATAAATCAGTGTATAGTCATAGCATGTGCAAGGCCCTGGCTTCAATCTCTAGCTCCATAAAATAATGCAAAATTTAAAATAACTTCCAGTTTTTTAGGTTTATTTAATTTTTTATGTATATGAGTGCTTGTCTGTATGTATATGTATGCCTGGTGCCCATGGAGGCCAGAGAGGGTGTTGGGTCCCCTGGAATTGCAGTTACGAATGGCTGTTAGCACCATGTGGGTGCTGGGAACCAAACCTGGGTCCTCTACAAGAGCAGCAAGTGCTCTTAACCACTGAGCCATCTCTCCAGACCTCAATAAATTCTATTTTTAAAAAAGTAATCCATGGAGGGGCCAGACAGAAGGACTTGCAATGGTCCCCTGGGCTTCGCTGCTGTTGAGTATGGTGTTAACTTGCCCCTCTACCATCCCTATGGTGCTTGCTAGGAATTTTGCATTTTCCACCAATGCTTGGGCATGCATGGGTCCTGGTGGGGGGGGGAATGGAGGTAAGTGGAGCAGCTATTTGGGGGAGGATGTGTCAAGAGTGAATCCCCTTGATGATCTATATGCACAGGAAGTGACCTGGACCCTCCAGGCCTTCATACTTCCCTGGATCTGTGGCTGATGACTCCCACCTGAACCTTTTGCAGCCCACCTAAAGTCCCTTTTTGATGCCTCTATGGGGTCACCGCCCTCATGCTCTCTGCAAAGCCTCCTACAATGGGTCCTCGTGTGTTTTTTTGAGGTCCAGCTGGCTTGGTACTTACTATACGGACCAGGTTGGTCTTGAACCCCAGACAATTCTGCCTCTGCCTCCCATGTGCTGAGATTGCAGATACAGGCCATATGGTTTAGACAACCCCCTCCACCTTGCTACCATCATAACTTACATTTGGCCTACTGTACTGGGAAGTCCAGAGCGGTAACTACTGGGTTACGTGAATCCTTGTGCTACTGAGGCAGCATGTCTAATGACAGAAGAGCTATGTAGCAAAATCTGGGATTTTGGTCCCAAAGTCACAACTACCCACATGACCAAGGTAGACCAAGCTGCCTGTTGGCTCTGGGTTTACTCTTTGGCAAGGCAAGGGGTAGAAGGCAGCTCTGCAGCCTGGCTGCTTCACTTGCACCACCAGGAAGAAGTTTCTTGAGGGCTGTGGCAACTGCAGAGGTCAGAAGGGGCACCATAAGGGCCTATGAACTTCACGCCTCTTTGCCATCACGCCACTCCAAAGGTTTAGGGTCAAAAATGAGGCAGACAACAGTTCTCCAAAGTCAGGAAGTACAGCCAACAGATTCCACACACCTAATACCTGAAGATCCACAAACAGGACCCTTCAGACCAGTGAGGCCTAGGGAGCTAGGCCTACAATCCCCATTGGCAGGATCCCAGAGTTCTGGTACCAGAATAATCACAGGAGCTCCTTTCAGCTTCTGAGGAAAAACGAAATGGAAACCTACCAACTAAACACTAGGATGTGACAATGGCAGGACAAAAAGCCTTTTAAAGCATTCTTTTCAAAATAGGCTACTTCTCTGTTCCAGGGTGGGGGGTGGGGAGGGTAAGTTTCTCAAGAACATGGAGATAAAATCTCTTGGCTGTGTCATACGCTCTCCTCCCCAGCAACTTCTAGGAGATTCCAGGAATGTTGGCAGTAGCGTGGCTTTTCGGGGGAAGCCCTTGGAGAGCCCCTGGAGGTTTAGATTCTGTGGAAAACATCCTGACGGAAGCAGGCCCCTCACCTCATTCCAGTTTGGCTCAGTTGTGTCCCTGTAGACTCGAGTCTTTGCTTTATTCACAAAATATCCAAAGGAATCCACCTCTAGGGTGCAGTACAGATCTGTGGGATGGTGACAGGAAGATGGTGACCACCATACACACACACACACACAAACACACACACACAGATATATCATCATCATCAGTCTTTTCATACAAGCAGGTGTTAAAGAACCCAAACAGTGGCTGGTGTGAATACCAGCACCTCATGCAATGTCCCTGTCTGCACTGCCTATGGAGCTGGGAAACAGGACCTACCACCCACCCACTTCTGTATCACTTAGCCATCCTCTGCTAAGGCCCCTATGTTGAGTGGGCAGGAGAGTGGTGAGCATGGCACTCAACCTGGGGTGAGTGCTGTGCTGTACAGTGAAGCTACAGCAAAGGTCTCCTATTCTGGGAGTGACAAGAGGTAGCTCCTATGGACCCAAGTAGATCCTGATATGAATTTCACCAGGCAAAGAGCTAAGGCACAGGGAGTCCAGGCCAGTGTGGGGTACAGGAAGAGAAGAGGGGGGCCATCATTTGGGATGTGTATGCAATCTGCCAGCTGTAAGTGGTAAATGATGGGGTTGAGTTTTACATTTTAGAAGAACTCTGGATGAGGAATAAGGGAGGCCAATGCCAAGGACCAAGAAGAATGTAGCCCGACATAATAAAGTACCTCGATGGGAGCAAACATCTGATTGACAGGGCCAGGGGACAGGATAGTGGAACAGGTGCTAAGTCTGGTCTGGGGAAGCGAAGTTTAGAGAGTAAGACATCAGATGGGAATGTGATGTGAGAGACCAGGAGAGGTGAGACAGAGATGGAGAGGTGTCATCTGCATATTGATGTGTGGGTCCAGGGGGTAGGTGTGGCCAGAAAGAAGGTCCTTATGGAACACCCCTGTGGTTAATCTTATCAACTTGATAGGATTTAGAATCCCTTGGAAACAAACCTCTGTGAGAGATTATCTAAATTAGTTTGAAATGGTATGACCCACCCTAAATGTGGGTGGTACCATTTCATGGGCTGAACTAAAAGCAGAAAGCTGAGCATAAGCATTAATCTCCCTCTGCTTCCTAACTATGGATGCCAAGTAACCAGCTGCCTCGAGCTCCTGAGGCTGTGACTTTCCCACCATGATAAACTGCACCCTGAAACTGTGAGCCAAAATTAACCCTTCCTTCTTTAAATGACCTTTGTTGGGCTTTTATCACAGCAACAAGCGGAGCAATTTACAGGAAAAGGGTCCTGAAAGTGGGGCTGTTGCTCTGATAGACGTGACCATGTGACTCCTATGCCTTTGGTTCTGAGACGAACATGGAAGAGAGTTTGGAACTCTGGGTTAGAAATACCCTCAAATGCTGAGAGCAGAGCTTAATGGACAATTCTGAAGATGGGAATCTGGAATACCAGAAGACCAAGAGATTTCTGCACAGTGGAGGCCTAGCTCCTGAGGTTTCAGAGGGGAACAGGGACTCTATCAGGAACTAGAGGCCATTCAGTTACATTCTGGCAAATAATCTGGCTATATTTTGCCCATGTCCTGAGAATTTAAGTAAGTATGAATAATTTGTTTTGCAGAGGAAATTTCAAGGAAAGATGACATTCAGACTGTGGCATGGCTATCTATCCCTTACTGTTACTTATTCAGACAAAAAAAAATGTGTTTTGTTGAAGAAAAGAATTTGAGCAAGTTTAAAGTTGCAGCCAAAGCCCATGGTAAAAAAACAAAATGTACTTGTTAAAGAGAAACCTTATATGCTGTATCCTGGGACAATAGGAAAGTTGCCCTGAGGGCAAGGCCTCATCTATCAGTCTCCAATGCGAAAATGCAAATTCATTTGAAAGGAAAGAGCCTCTATTGAAAAGGTTACTGAAGGGGTTTCCCATTCCTGGGAAGCAACTGCTTAGGGAAGTGTTTCCCCAAGGGTCCGGCAGAAGGTCTGGCAACTATGATCCAAGGAGCCAGGTTCCTTCAAGTTGGCAGCAGAACTCGACACCAATATCCAAATGCTACTGGTTTTGTAGGTATGAAAGACCCAAGATTGAGGAGGTTATAGAATCTTGCATGATGGTTTCAGAGAGTCACTGAGGCCAGGCAACATGTGCTGGGGTTGAAGTCCCTTCGAGGAAGCCCTGAGAAGCCAATAGGTAAAGCTACGAAGGTAAAGCCTAAGTTGCAGTGGGGACTCAGGATGCTGGAGATTCCTGGACCACAGGACATTCACCAAGGAAAGCTGCAGTTATAGAATGGTGCTGACTCAAGAGAGAGGCTGTGTGCTGCAGGTGAGAGAGCTGGAGGGGAGAAGCTCTCCAATCCCTTTGGAGCTCAGCCAGTTCCATCACAAACTCTAGATGCTAGACATAGAGCTGCAGGACTTAGTGTTTTCCCTGCTGGATTTCAGTGTTGCCTTGGTTCTAACAATCTTTGCTATGCCTCCATTCTCCCCTTTTGGTATGAGAATGTTTATTTTGTGCCAAGATATATAACTTGTTTTTTATTTTATAGGAGCTCACAGTTAAAGAGATTGCCTTGAGTCTTGAATGAGACTTGGGACTTTTAAGCAGGGTTTAAGTTGCTAAAGACTATGGGGACTTTTGAAATTGGACTAGATATATTTTACATTTGAGACAATCATGAGCCCATGGGAAAAATGGGTAGAAGTTTATGGATTAAAAGTGATATATTTGGGTGGCTAGTTGACAAGGGGTAGAACTGTGATAGCTCTTTCTTTTTCTTTTTTTTTTTTTTTTTTTTTTTTTTTTTTTTTGGTCTTTTTGAGACAGGGTTCCAGCTGTCCTGGAACTCACTAGGTAGACCAGGCTGGCCTTGAACTCATAGATATCTACTTGTCTCTGCCTCCCAAGTGCTGGGATTAAAGGCGTGCGCCACCATGCCTGGCTGAACTATGATAGCTCATTTTGATTGTCAAGTTGGTGGTGATTAGATTTACCATAGAAACAAATCTCTGGCCATGTCTATGGAGGATTATTTAGATGAGGTTAACAGAGGTGGGAAGACCCACTCTAAATGCAGGTGATACTATTCCACGGGCTGAATGAAGAAGAAAGTGAGCTGAGCACAAGCACTCATCTCCCTCTGCTTCCTGACTGGGGATGCAAGGCAACCAACTGTCTCAAGTTCCCACTGCCATGACTTCCCTGTCACAATGGACTACAGCCTGGAACTGAGTCAAGCCTTTCTTTCTTAAGTTGCTTTTATTGAAGTATTTGTCACAGTAAGAAGATAAGAAACTAATATAATCAGGAAAAACCAACATAACAGGGCAGCCAAAGAAAGAAGGGTTTGGGAACAACAGACATGATAGCTTTGGAGGTTCCACACAACTTATCTACTGCAACTATTTTATATGTTTTGATGATTTCTTTTTTTGCTTTTTTTCAAGACAGGACCTCACTCTACAGCCCAGGCTGCCCTAGAACTCACTTTATAGCCCAGTATCTTCTAGAATTCACAAGCCTCCTGCCTCCTGAATGTTGGGATTACAGGTGTGTATCATGTCCAGCTTTGCTTGATGATTTCTGATAAATTAAAACACTTGTACAAACAGCACAATCATTTCAGAAAACTGCCTTCACCTCGAAAGCTCTCCTTGGGTCCAACTGCAACCAAGTCTCATTCTTACCTTTACCCTCGCACCTCAAATAGGTTGTCTGACCCCATCTTTTGCCTTTTCTACAAATTTAGCATACATGGAATGACACAACATGTAGTTTTCTGCATCTTGTTTTCTTTGTTCAGTATTTTTACTTTATGTTCAACTAAGTTGCTGCCTCCATCAGCAGCTCATTGCTTTTTTATGGGTTGCTGCATGGATGTGCCACATTGTATCTGAACTAGATTTTATGTAGACAGATGTTTTAATTTCGCTAAAGTGAATACTTAAGAGTGGGATTGGTGGGATATATAAAGGGAAGTTTATTTCACTTAGTACAGAACTGTGCAATGGGGGTGTACCTCAGTGACAACATGTGCTTAGCATGCACAAAGCCCTGAGTTTAATTCCCAGCACCAAACAAAAAAGTCTGTGCAACGTTTTCTGGGGTGGCTGAGCCATGCAACATCTACATATGCGGTATAGGGATATGTGAGTGTCCTGTTTTTCCATGTCTTCACCAACATTTGTTACAGTTCAACTTTTCTTTTGTTTAACGGCATTGGGGTTTGAACTTAGGGCCTTGATGTGCATGCCAGGCAAGGGCTCTACCACTGAGCTACGTCTTCAGTCCTACTGTGTATCTTTTTGATCATCAGTGATCTAGAGGACATGAACATATATTTCATGTTTTTGGTTGTTAGCCTTTAACGGCTGTGCTATCCATCCAGCCCATGAACATATATTTCAATGCAATTTGAATTCTCATTGTTCTAATATGACAAGCATCTTTTCAAAGGTCAGAGGACAACTTCTGGGAGTTGGTGCTCTTCCTCCACTGTGGATTCTGAATTTAGTTCATCAGACTCGCACAGGACACATATTTTTTGTCTTTTTTTTTGAGACAGGGTCTCCCTGTAGGTTCAGCTGGCCTGGAACTCGCTATGTAGACCAGGGTGGCCTTGAACTCACAGAGGTCCACCTGCCTCTGCCTCCTGGGGATACACTTCTACTGCTGAGCCATCTCATCAAGCCCACCGCCTTGCCCCCTTTTTTGAGACAGGGTCCCAGCTGCCCTGGAACTCCCTATATAGACCAAGCTAGCCTTGATTTCACAGAGATCCTCCTGTCTCTGCCTCCTAAGGGCTGGGACTAAAGGCATGCACCACCACGCCTGGCTCACTACTCATTTTTTAAATTTTAAAAAAATATATTTTATTATTTCTATTATTGTGTATGAGTACATTGCCTGCATGTATGTGAGTGCACCCGTGTCATGCAATGCCTCGAAGTCATAAGAGGGTGTTGGATTCTCCTGGAACTAGAGTTATGGACAGTTCATAGCCATCATGAGGGTACTGGGAATTGAACCTGGATCCTCTGCAAGAGCAGTCAGTGCTCTTAACCACTGTGCCAATCTCTATCTCTCTAGCCCTCATTTTTTAAATTGTACTGTCTTCTTGGTGGTATTTAGTTGTAAGAATGCTCTGATAGTCTAGACAAGTCCCTTGTCATATATATTACAAATCATTTTCTCCCATCCCATGACTTGCTGAAGGTCTCTTGTTCTGTAGCAATTGTGGGAAGGGTCAGAACAATGTCTGTCCTTTACTATGGGCCTAAAACCTGCAGAGGAGAAGCCAGGCTGGGATGTCAGTAAAACTGCACTGTGGCCAACCTTTGTTCTCTGACAGCTTGAGCAGCTAGCTGGGGGTGGAAGGGGGATCACCTATCTGGCTCAGGACAACAGCCAAATCTACTGTGCAGAGGGGCTTAAGGGGTGTGTGGCCCATAGCTCCAGGGAGGTTCTCTGGCACCCTGCTGCTATCAGGCTTTCAGACTCAAACTCCAGACTCTGCAATGAAAAGTCCTGCTGGCAGGGGGCAGCTCACTACCTTGCAGAATTTGAGACCAGCATGGAAAAGAGCAGAGAAAACAGTCTCACCAGCACGACATCTCAAAGCACCAGAGGCCAGTAGCCAAAGGTGGCCATTTGGACAACTTCCCTGGGCTGCCTACACCCCACCTGACAGTCCTTCCCAGTTAAAACTTAGTCTCAGGGCCCACCACTTTCTTCCCTAAGCCACTTACTTGAACTCTGCTTAAACCCAGTTGCTGAGTGGACGATAACATTCAGAAAGCCGTAGAGCCCAGGAGACTCATCATCTATGCAAGAGAACAAACAGGTAAATTTCTGTTCTACCAGGAGAAGTAGGCAAGGTGATTGGCTGATTCTGCTTCAGCATCAACCCAGCCCTGGGCAAGGCAGTGGCACAAACTATGCACCCACTCTGGATTCTGTGTTTGGGATCTTAGGATCTAGCTGGGTTCAAAACACGGGCAAACCAATGACCAAGACGGAAGCCAAGTTCCAAAGAAAGGAGAGGGGGCTGGGGTGATGTGGAATGTAGGTGGAGTAAGTGTACTTGTGCATTTATGCACAAGCTCATGTGTTTAACCACATGCTTATGTATGTGAGTTCAGGTTCACAACCATGAACACAAAACTTGGTATGACTCAAAGTGTCAACCATGGGACCATATCGTGTACTGATGGTCTGACTGGCTGTCACAGGCCTCATGACTAGGGACAAAAGCCATAGGTTAGGTTCTGCAACTGCCCATTAGTAAATACCAGGGAAAAACTGCTCCTAACAGATTCTGAACATTCTAGAGAAGACAACAAGCACATGTATTTCTTCTGAAGGAAAATTCACAGCCATGAAGATCCTGTTCACAAGAAGTATCAGCCCTCAGCTCGATGCCTGGGAGGTCAGCCTCACCTTCTTTGTTGATGGTCAGTGGAATGTGGTGAACGGTCTGAAGTTTTACACACGAGTTTGTCAGCATTTGCAGCTCCACAGAGGTCAAAGAGAAGCTTTTGAAACCTGAGGGAGTAGAAAAGGTATGGGAACAGATCATTCCACAATGACCCTCCCACCAGACCCTTACAACACATGGGGGTAGGGCCAACTGGGACCTGATGGCTCCAAGTGAAATGCTGGTATGGCAGGTGAGCAAGGTAAGGCCCTGGAGAGCCTAGGCCACCGGGTGAGAAGCATCTCAGTCCCTGCTACCTAGCAGAGCCCCACAGGGCAGGTTTGAATATGACAAGGCAGCCTGGAAGCATTTCCTGGGGAGGTCTCTCCAGATAGATACCAGTGTAGCTCTGCCCTTTATTCTGCTAAGGTGGGTCTATGTCTCTCTGCCAGGTGAAGAAAAGGGGCTTATTTCTGAGTACACTGAGCAAGGACAGATGCCACACTGGATGGTTTGTTTTGGATCCCCATGTTAGGGCAGAAAGCCCTGGGACATAAGCCCTGGCAAGAGCCTCTTGGTCTCCCTCAGGTCACTGTAGCACTGAAAGGGAAGATATGGTCAGCTTAGCTCAGCCTAAGTATGGATGATGAGCCTGAGAGAGAGTAGCTAGGAATGGGGCAGAGGCATGCAGAGCCCCCAGCTGGATCTGCAGAAAATGAACCAAAACTCCTGCTTCAATAAGAGTAGGTCTGTCACCATGGAGTTACCAGGCCTCGGGGACATAGTTTTATAAGTAGGCCAATGGGGAGCTGGGGAGCTGCAGTCCCCAGACCTGGGATAAAGACTGCCTTTCTGCCCCTAACACTGTACCAGGACCAGGGGTGCAGCTTGTAGTTCCAGAGAAGGAAAAAGTCACTAATTGAGGGACGTGCCTAGAGAAGAAAGGGGCCATTCCAGTGAGGATTAAGCGTCTTGTCTTGAGAAGTGGACCAGGTGTAGGACAGTGGGCAAGCACAGTACGACTGGCTAGATGGGTCCAGCCAAAGGTTCTTTTGGCATCAGTGCCTGCTTGGGGTGAAGGGTAGCAGAACAGAGCCTCAGGGGATCACATGATAGCAGGTGAATGGGGGAGGCCCAAGAAGACTGGAGATTATGCAAGAAAGGCTTGACCTGGATGGATCAGCGAGGTGGAGGGTGTGTGAACAGATCTAAGGAACAGTCAGTAAAGATAAGGAATTTGGGAAGGACTGGGGGAAGGAATCTCAGGGGAAGAGTAAAGGGCAGGATGGGTGGGAGGGCACAAAGGGGATAGAGAGCTCCTGACCAGGGCATTTGCTGAATTAGGTAGGCCTGCACACTGCATTTTGAAATCCTTGGTTAAAAGAAGAGTAGAGCAGAGGAAGGAGGGAGACAAGACTCAGAACATTAAGAATTGTCCACAAAATGTTCCTCCAGCCTTGACTTGGCCCAGCTCTGAGTGTAGAGGTCACTCACACTTCTTCTGCTGCTCTCGAATATTTTCTCTCCATTCAGCTCGCTCATAGTCAGAGGAAATCAGGAATGTGTAGCTCTGCGATGGGTGAAAAGAAGAGCATACCACAGTTATCTCCACCCTGGCTGAGCCAGCACCCGGAAAACCCTGGGGGCACAGCCTGAGAAGCACAACGTCCCCCACCAGCTCACTGCTTCCTGCACACTCTGCTGTACTTTGGGCCATGGTGTCTGAGCACAGTGTGGGCTTGCCTCTAGCATAAACCTCACAAAATGCCTGGGTCGGGGAATGACACTGGCAGGGAGTGCTGCAGCTTAAGGACAGGGAGGACTTCAAGGCGAGGGCTGATGGCAACCCAACCTCCTGCGTAAGTCCATGCTAGGACTGAGAGACAAGGTTCCACAAAGCCTGTCAACTGCTTTCCCTGCCCAGGCAGAAGGTATCAAGAGCAAGACCAGAAGAGAATGCCTCTAGCCCTGGAGGTTCCCAGGCAGCACTCCGGTACCTGGGGTCACATCTGTAAAATCTAGTAAGGCTGTCTGCCCTATTACCTCCCTGGAGACCTTGCCACTTTCCAGCTGTAGGAGCTGTGTCAGCTGCCACTCAAGTGTGGACTACACCAAAGCACCAGTCCCAGGGATGTGTGTCTGTACGCGCTTTGCTGCACAGATCTCTCTTGGCATAGGGATGCTCCCCAGAGCAAAAGGACTGTAGTTCCAAAGGCATACAAGAGCTGGAAACAACAGATGGCAGAGACTGGACTACAGCTGGCTCATCAAGGGTCCATCCCAGGCTGGGAACATCTGCAGGGTGAGTCAGAGGACCGCAGGCACTCACCTTGCCGTTGCGGCTGTGCACCCTGAAGGCCATGCTGGGGGACATCAGCAGCAGCAAGGATTCCTGCTCTGACAGCTTTTTCCTCAGCCTCTCCATGGCCTTGCTGCCCTTGTTCGCCCTCTGCAGAGAAAGAATGGTCTTGCCTTTCCACCTGGGGCTAGTGCCACCTGTTCCCCCTCAGCTGTGGCCAACTGTCCCCCTTGCCAGGCTTGGAGGGTAGAAATCCCATCTGTCTGCTCAGCATAGCCCAGGACCTTGGTCAGCTGTTGCTGGTGGTCTTTTGAGGATGTTAACACTTTTCCTTGGGATTAAGGCCCAGCATAAACTGGGGATGTGCTTATGAAGCCATCCCTGAAAGAATCAGTTCTTCTTATAAGGTCAGAGGAGAAGCCTTTAGCTTTTCCAAACCTGGATAATGTTCAGGGGTTGCTGGGACCTAGGGGACTTCTTACCTGTTTTCTGACCTGGGCACATTCAGCATGAGGCCCCAGGGATGTTTGAGAAGGGAGGGGGGGGGTCCTAGTAAAATCAAATAAATATCACCAGGATCTGGTCAGAAAAAACCCTATCTGTCCTGGATTGTGCAGAGCCTTACTGAAGCCACTATGCTCTTTGAAGAGGACTATGCTGCCTCTCATAAGTTAGGACCACAGGCCCCAATTCCTGTGAAGGGCATAATGTGGGAAGGGAACAGTCGTAAGTAGGGCCTAGCAGCCCTGAGGATTCAGCAGTGGTTCTGCTTGGGGCCTGTGGTGGTTTAAATGAGACGAGCCTCCTATAGACTCACGTATTTGAATACTTGGTCCCCAACTGGTTGTGCTGTTTAGGGAGGTTATGGAATCTTCAGGAGGTGCAGCCTTGCTGGAGGTATGTCACTAGGGGTTGGCTTTTTGAGAGTTCATAGCCTCTCCCCACTTCTACTTTACTGTCTTTGCTTCAAGTGTGCAGATCAAGATATGGTATCTTACCAGGAAAGGTAGCACACACCCTTAGTCTCAGTTATTGAGAGGCAGAAGTAGGTAGATCTCTGTGAGTTCAAGGCCAGTCTAGTCTACACAGTGAGTTCTAGGCAAGCAGCCAGGGATAAAGAGTAAAACCCTGTCTTCAAAACAAAACAAAAACACCCCAACACAATAACAAAAAACAAAACAAACAAAAAACCCCACACAAACCTCTTCTGTCACTTTTGGCCATGGTATTTTGTCAGAGCAACAAAAGTAATACATTCAGAAATACTCTACCACAGAGGCCATGAATAAATGACCTAATGTCTATCCTAGTTTTAGGTCTTCCTTGTCTAGGTGTGCTGGATGTCCTATATGCCCACAAATATGCATATTGGGGGGCTGGGCAAGGCTGTAAGGGCTGAGGATTCCAGTCCTGTTGTGTCTACCTCAACAGGGTCCCTGGACTGAGGCGTCTTCTGATGATGCAACTTGTCTGTAGCAATGCCAGGCGCCTACTCTGGCCTGGACTAACTAGGGGCTCATTCTCACTCTCCACCCCTTCTAAAATTTCTCCAGAAAGAATCAGGGGCCTACAGTCCAGAGCAGCTAGAGGGGCTGCACTCTCTAGTCCTATATCCTAGACTGTCCTGAGCTTTCTATGGCCTAAATGTGACACCTTCCCCAACCCCTGACAGGTGATTCAGCATGTCCCCTGTATAACAGGAGGATACCACATGGAATCCACAGAGTTCCAGAGGCAAGAACTTAAAGGCATTCAGGTACTTTCTTCCTCTGCAAGTCCCTCTCCTGCCTTGCAGAACAGGCTCTCTGCTTTTCCAGCCACTTTCCCTAAACAGAGCATTCAATCACTTGCCTGTTCACCCAAAGTGACCTATACTCTATTCCTAACATAAACTGCTAGCTGTACCAGGTGAAGTGGCACACACCTGTAGTCCCAAATACTTAGGAGGCTAAGGCAGGAAGATTGCTTGAGTCTAAGAGAACTGCCTAAGCAACTTAGCAAAAACTTGTCTCTTTAAAAAAAACAAAACAAAAAACAGAAGCAAAAGAATCCTGCTAGTTGCTCCATGTACACTTTTTCTCTGCCTGAATTTTCATTTCTACTTTGTGACTTGGGGACGTAGGGCTACCCTCCCCGCCTAGTATACCATCCTTGCCCAGGATCTGTAAGTAATAATCTTTCAACTTGCTTCCTATTGTGGTGGTGTATCAAATTTATATCTCCCATGAGAAGAATCAGAGGCTAGCCCAGGCTAGACTTTCCCTAGGGTGAGGCAAGGGAGAGGATGAGGGGATGGGAAAGAAGAGGTACAAGGTTGGGCTCCTAATACCAGAGTGATGGTCAGGCAGATTTTTAACCTGGTCAGAAAAAGAGCTACAGGGCACCTGTGAGTGCACACGAGTCTTGTATATGAGAGTCTCTGGACACAGGTCAGGCAACTGGACATTAAGCTATTTTTCAGGTAAAAAAGTACCCCAAGGTAAGCACCCTGTGAATACCATCGTCAGTAGGTCTCATTTTCCACCAGGTTGCTAGTGGCTTTGGTCTAAGAACCCAAATTTAGTTGGAGGCTCTCAAAACAACAGAACTCTGGGAGCTCAGAGCTCACAGAGGTCCCAGCAGGTCCTAGAGACCAGCTGTAGGGCCAGACGCCCAGTGGAGAAAGCACCTGCTTGGCCTGTGCATGAGGGCCTACTGGCCTCTCAGAGACTGACACTTCCTCTCCCAGCTGGCCGCACCTTCTCTCTCTGGATATCACTCTTGATCTGGGAGATCTTGATCTTCAAGGCATCCAGCTCCTCATCTGGCACCAGGGGGATGTTGGGTACTGCCTCTGACTCATCCACCATCTGGAAGCTGAGGTCCGTGAGTGGAATGTACCATTTGCAGTCATACTGCTGGGTTTTGCTGGGCAGGAGAGGGAGGAAAATATTTACAAAGTGATGACTTTTCTTTGCTAATATCACTGCTTTAGAGAGCCAGAGAGCCCTATGTCTGTAGCCGGGCTGTTTACCTGACCTAAAACCCAGCATGTATTTCGTGTGTGCTGGATACCTTTAGTGTCAAACTGACACATCTGCATTGAGGGAGCCTCAATTGGGGAATTGCCTCTATTGGACTGGCCTGTGGCCATGTCTGAGGGGCATCTTCTTGATTGTTGAGTGATGTGGGAGGGCCTAGCCCACTGTGGGTGGTGCCACTCCTGGGCAGTTGGGCCTGTGCTGCATAAGAAAGCAGGCTGAGCAGGGGCAGGGGGAGCAAGCCAGTAAGCAGTGTTCCTCCATGACCTGTGCTCTAGCTCCTTGGGCTCCCTGATGAATTGTGACCCAGGAAATGTAAGCTGAATAAACCCTTTCCTATCCAACTTGATAGTGGTCAGTATGTTTTGTCACAGCAATGGAGAAACAAACCAGGACAATGTGACAGGCTGAGCTAAGGTGGTCAACAGACAGTGGCAGCCCCAGCCTTGAGGACTTCTGGGAACATACTCCATTCATGTGACCCCAGGCCTCAAGGTGTCTGAGGAGGCCTGATTCATTTTCTGTCATAACTCTGATGGCTACAGCTCACATAGGAACACAGCAGAGCACCCAGTAACAGACCAGGACTGAAGTCCAGAGGTGCAGGGATTGAGGGCTTCTAATCTACCTGGAATAATTGTTTTACCTGACAGATAGGGGAATGGAGGCTCTCCTGAATTGATTGACTAAATTTACTTGCACAAAATTGGTAGAAATGTGTAGGCTAGCCCACCCAGTTCTGGTCTGCTCCAATATGACTATCTTTGCTCCATTCCAAACTGGTGTACTGTGGGTAAATCTTTGGAAGAGAGAGGCAGAGAGAGAGAGAGAGAGAGAGAGAGAGAGAGAGAGAGAGAGAGAGAGAGAGAAAGAGACAGAGAGAGAGAGAGAGAGAGAGAGAGAGAGAGAGAGAGAAAGAGACAGGGAGAGAGACAAGGAGAGAAGGATGGAGACAGAGACAGACAGAGGGAAGGAGGGAAGGGGAGTGTTGTGTGTGTGCCTATGCTGAGAAAAACAAGAAATCATCACCAGCTTTGGAGACAGAAGAGCATCAATCATCTAGTGTTGGTCTACTCAGGGCAGGGGAGGGCTAGCCTGTCCCAGTCCTGCAGCCCCGTGACACTCAGTCTTCTTAGGTGATTTATAAGACTGTTTTCCAACAACACAGGACTCACAATCAGGTTTGTCCCTCATTACAGGAGATGAAGACAAATCACTGATACTTCCAGAAATGGTTACTAACAACCTTGACCTTAAGCCTGGTCTCATATCCCGGTGGAAACAAGTGAAGAGCAGTGGCCTGTCCACACTGTTATTCATGACCCTTGGAGACCCACCCTCCTGGAGCACTGTCACTGCCAACGTTACTCACCCCCCACTCTGCTTCTTGAGCTTGGTGCAGAGAAGCAGGTCGGTGAACAGGAAGATGTGGCGTAGCTTACGGGCCCCTTCCACCAGCTCCACCATGAAGCTGTCCTTCAGCAGCTGCCGGTGCTGTGGGCATGGTAGGTACAGGGGGGCAAGTCAGGACGATCAGGTGTGGAGGGGGAAGGAGGGCCATCCCAGCCCACGAGGAGCAGTAGACCTTCTGGAAACCTCCTTCCCTTGGGAGTTTTCACTACCTCCATATTTACATACAGACCTGCTTTCTAAAACGCTCTGTTCATCTGACTGGCTGGCTCACTGATGGGGTACTGCCATTCACTTTTTTTTTCTTTCAACCAGTTTTTCTAAGTCCATCCTAGTTGCTCAGCCTATAGAAAAGTATCAGTGGATGGGGCAGAGATGACCATCAGCTTGGGTCAAGCAAATGACCTACTGTGAGAAAAGGTGACCAGTGCTTCTCTAAGGTGGTGGCCTGAGACCCAGAATTGGCAAGAAGCCAGTCATATAAGGGGATATTCTTGTCAAGACTGCCCCAGGCTCAGGCATAGAAGAGAAGAGGTTGGAACTCCAGGGACTAACTGAATAGCACATCAGTAGGGAGATGATAGGTCCAGGACTTCTGAGAAGGGGCAGTGCTGGGGGTATGGGCTTGGCCTAGGACTGAAGGCTTCAGGAAGCTGTGGGACCATGATTGGACCCACTTCTGACACCTGCCCCGATACCTGTTGCCTAAGAGCCAAGTCAACAGAGAATACAGGTGGGCAGCACATGGTAGGTGACATGAGTGGGCAGACCTAGAACAAGCAGAGGAATGTGAAATCTCCTTCAGGTCTTGAGGCATTCTGTACCTTGGTAGTTCATCTGAAAGTCAAGGGATGGTACATCTCACTTGCACAGCTCAAGGAGTTGCTGAGCAAGTACACTAATTTAAGTCATTGATTCATTCAAAAACAGTGTCAGGCACCTCATGTAGATTAGGTGTTGTGCCATGCTGAGGATACAGAATGAGAGATTGACACAGAGCATGCCAGTGTATGCTGTTTAAGCACAATGCCTAAATTATCTGATTTGATTCTCATAGCATGCTGCAGGTCTCCATGCCCGTTTCACAGATAAGCTCAGAACAGCCACCCCACAGCAGCACAGCAAACAAGCAGTATACTCATGGTCTCTCAGGAGCCCCCAGGAGCCTACAAGCCTCGGGGAGCACCTGGTTTCAGGAAGACTTCCCAGAAAGGGTGATTCCACTTGACACTATGATATCTAGGAAGGATCTGGGGTCAGATGCATACAAAAAAAGTGCATGGAAAGCTATTGTCTCCCACAGCAAGAGATGCAGCTGCTCCCCCAGAGGCAGGGAGGCCCCCTACCCTCATCACAGTGGACTGGGACCATACTGTATGCAGAGTTCCACTGCACATGCAGCTTCCATGTCCCATGCTCAGTAGAAGCTTGTGCAGCCAGGGTCAGACCCCCTGGGACGCCCCCCTCCCCAGGCAGGAAGACTACATGTCATCATCACAGGAAGCTCAGCACTACATTCACCTGACTGCTGACACAAGACAGCCAATTATTTTATGTAGGAGCTGTTGGTGTCTATAGTGGAGGGCAGGAAGCCTGCCACCATGCTAAGACCATGACCTGGCATCACTTACACACAACCCCTACACAGGGCAGATGGCCTTCTGAATAATGGCAGCCACAAAATGCAAGAAACAGTGTGTTCATTTGAAGAAATCTGGTGTGGTGCTGGAGGGCAAAGTCCTGGAGACTGGGGTACATAAACTGCTGTGTAAAGAGCGGGTCCTAGGATACTGGGGTCTGCAGGGAATGCCTACACTGATGCTTCCTCATCAGGGACACAGGTACCAAGAGACCTGTAAAGGGGAGACAGCTGCTTTTTCCACACAAAAGAGCTGAACCTCATGTAATCACCAGCAGAGGGCATCCTAAGTTCAGCAATACTCAGGAGTCTCTGGGCACTACTCCAGGAACCTTATGCAGGCCTAGGAGGTTGAAAAGGCTGGGGCTCGAGCTGTACTTTGATATTATGACAGATGCATAACTCTTCTCTAGCTTCCCCTGCTCTGTCAATATCAACCGTACCTTTCTAAGAGAAGTCCCAAAGCTATGGGGGCCTTTCAACACCACCTCTAAGCAACTTATCTATGAGAGTTATTCCAGGAGTGCATAGTCAGTGACTGCAAAAAAACAGGCCCCTCATAGCTGGGGTGCTTGTCAAAGCATTTTCACCAGGATGTTCCTGGGATGCCAGAGCTGTCCTTATGAGGAAGAACTGATCTGGCTTCTAAGCCCTCCCTGGGGACTGGCTGCTCCATCCAAACTGAAACATCCAGCAGCCAGAAAGGAGGGTCTCCTAGCCCTGGGAAAATAGCTGGGCTCCCAAACATAACATTGGCCCATCCAGGAAGGAAGCCTGAGTCCTGCAGAAGGGCTGGAATCAGAATAAATGGATACAGTGGGCAAAGACAAGAGGGAGAGGAGGGAGTGCAGGGCCAGCTCTATAGGATGAGGACTGACCAGGCCTGGGCAAGTGTCTCAGGCTGGCAGTCCCATCCTGTCCTATCGTTAAGACCCCTGACTTCTGGACAGATGCCTCCTCCATTGCTCAGGAGGTGAGCCAGGCCTGGGCCTGGGTCCATCCCTGTTCTGAGCCTAGCTAGAAGCTCCACACTGTGGTGGGAAAGGGCTAAGACAGTCCCCTTTCTCCCCATCTCTCCCCCTGAAAAACAGACACATTTCAGGGAAGGGGAAAGACAGGCCCAGGACAGATAACCTGGGCAGGAGTTTGTGATAAGGAAAGACTGAGGAGAGGCAGTGAATGGTGACCCAACAATGACTCGGCATGAGCGCCTCAGAGCCCTGCCTTGTCCCTCTGACAAGGAGCTAAGAAGCTTCCAGACTGCAAATTCATCTTCTTTGCTGCCTCCTCCATGCCCTTCCTGGAACCCTGGCTCCTGTGCAGAAGAATCTGGTCAGTTAAGCTTGGCTGGGGCAGCCAACACGGCACCAAGGAAGAGCCCAGAGTCCTGCCCTGCCCAGGACACACCTCACTCAGAAGCACTCATCATGCTCATCTAAGAACAGCAGTGACTTCCAGTTCATCTTGCCCCCACCCTCCAGGGCACACAGGCAAGGTCAAGGCTGAGGTCCCCCTCCAAAGAGCCTTCACAGTGGCCTAAGGATAGTATGAGGTCATGTGGCTGGGAAGAGCTATTGATTCTAAGTCTCACCCAGTGAACTGTCCCCACCCCCTCCCCCAGGAAGGGCCAGGACTTTAATGGACCCAGGACAAGAACAGCACCACATTTCAGAGTCTGCAACTCTGAGAGGCCTGCTTTTTGGGAGGGCAAGAGTATGAGTATGGGAGAGAAGGGGAGAGGTCCTGTGACTTTGCATATTCCTGTGTGTGGTTGTTGTGTGGGTCCTGGCTTCTCCATGTGTATTCACAGGAGTCCCAATGCAGATGATTGTGTCCCT